TTTTTCTCATTTTAATCCTATTGTTATTTCATAAAATCTTCTCTTTATACTTACTCCCTTCATTTATTTTTAGTAGACTTAGTTTTTACTTTCTGACTTTTCAGACATGAATTTCAAATAAAAATTTAATATATTATATAAATGTTAATTGAATTTTTTTATCAAATAAAAGTATTTAACAAAAACTTTATGTAGGAACATTTTTTAATTGTTGTTCATATAAATTATTAAATTTTCATTTGAAATTCATATATGAAAAGTTAAAAATTCAAATTAACTTTACTAAAAATAAACAAAGATTTAAAAAAAGATAATATAGGCAAAAACTCTGTAATGTAGAATGATTGTGGGTTTTTTTTTTGGGTTAAAATTTAAACAATAAAAATTAACAATTAAAAATTAAAATCATCGACTTATTGAATACAATATTCAATTTTAAAACTAACACCTAAAATTGAAAACTTAATTAATTTATAAAATTTATTAATATTATTCTAGAGTTTTTAAAATTTTGAAAAAAAAAACTTAAACTCAAAACCGTACCGAATGGAGTGTACATTGTGTCTTAGCATTGCGTGCTTTTTTTTTTTTGGATTTTAGGTTGTATAATGAAAGGCAATTATCTTTTATTCTTTTTCCTTAACTCACCTCACTAACATAACATATGATTTAAATTAAAGATTATGTCTTACCTCTATTGAAGGGAAATTACTGCTAAACTATTTAGACTATTAGCTAAACATTGCTAATATATAATTAAAAACAATGCAAAAACATTACTTTAATTCCATTATCTTTTTCATTTTTAAACACCAACAATCATGCTATGTTAATAGTGATTGGTATATATTTTGGTTCAACACAATGCATCACACATTATTTAAAAATTATTATTTTTTAGTTTGAAATTAAAAGCAGATAAACTTAAAGATGCTTCCATATATATAGGTTGTAAGAATCGTGGTTAAATAAACTATACTTATATTATATTTTAATAACAAAACTGAAACGAGTATTAGAAAATATGTTGAACCGAATATTTACCAAATATTTTCCATTAATAAAAGAGAATAGCAAGACATGAAAGAGTTGTTAGTACTTCCTCCATTTTAAAATAACTTTTGAATTTTTACTTTGAATTTGTTTTAAATTAATTGTTGTTTTTTTTATTTTAAAGAAAGGTAAATATTTTATTTCTCCTTTAACCTTATCCTTATTCATTTGTTTTAATTAATCATTTTATTACAAAAAAAAAATCTTTCTTTATCTTTTTTTAAAAAAAAATGATATAGGTAAACACATAAATTATTCACAAATTCTTAATTAAAAAAATTAAAAATTAATATTTATTTTGAAACGCAGCATAGAGAAGTATCGATCTCTTCTCCCTATATTTATATACCTTCTTGCTTCCCCAGCTTTTCTAGGAGGCGATTTCGTCATGAGAAAAGTAGTCATCAACAACCAAACACTTGTATTGTTCCGTGTTGCTGACAACCTGCTTTTATTTTTTTTTTTGAACAGCAACAACCTGCTTTTATTGTTATGATGATCAAAAGGTAAATACTTTTTTTCAAGTTTTTCACACAAAATGGTTCATCTCTTGTAGTTAAACATGGACAAATATCAATGCAAAATCATAAATATTTTACTTTTCACACATTATAATTAGGTTAAAACCCCTTTTTGGTCCCTCAACTATTGTACGGACCCCCGATTTGGTCCCTGAACTCAAAAAATCCCTGATTTGGTCCCTAACGTTTACCATTTTTACCCCGATTTGGTCCTTCCGCTAAACACCTCTCCACCTGTACTGTTAATTCACGGTAAGATGATGACATGTCAAAAGTTTACTCCACGTGAAAGACAACATGGCAAAAACTAGTGACATGGCAATAAAAATTTTAAAAATTATTTCTCCTTCCTCGCCCCCTTTCTCCTTCCTCTTCATTTCCTGGACCCAGAGCCGGGGATTGTCGAACCCAGGCGATGGGATCCTTCAAACCCAGTTCCTCGTTCCCTTCCTCCTTCCTCTTCCTTTCCTTCTTCATCAATCAATTCATCATCATCATCAAACAACACCCACAAAAACTTCATCAATCAATTCATCATCATCATCAAACAACACCCACAAAAACTTCATCAATCAATTCATCATCATCATCATCAAACAACACCCACAAAAATAAAGAAATTATTTATTTATTTTTTTGTTGAAGAAACTAGAGCCTGGGTTCCTTCAAAGAACCCAGGCGCCGGTTTGAAGAACCCAAGCCTGCTGGGTTCTTCAAACCCAGGCTTGGATTCGAACCCAGGCGCGGGTTCGAAGAACCCAAGCTTGCTGGATTCTTCAAACCCA